TGAGGAATGAAGAAGAGAGAGGGGTTGCACTAGCAGCAGTTGGCATATATATAGGAAACCCTAATTGGGTTGTACTCGCTATAGAGTACCCCACTGCAGACTAGACAATTATAACATTCTGACACACCCCCATAGCCAAAGTGGGGTGTAATCAGCACAATGAGCAAGCAGGTAGAGAGCAGGAGTTCACAATAGGGAGCAAAGCTAGAGCTAATCACAGCGGGCAAGTGAGGAGGAGGAACTGTGGAGGGAGAGAAGATGGGAGGCAACGACTGAAGCTGCAGAGGCACGGGCACAGGAGCGGCTGACTCAGTGGCTACCGAAGCAAGGGCGACGGACTACTGGAGTAACTGGCTCCGCGGCTATAGACGAGCGGCAGGAGCAACGGACCCACTGGCGACTGGTGCAACAGGCTCACTGGCTACCGAAGCAAGGGCGACGGACTACAAGCGCTGCAGGTGACACGACAGCTACCTTCACACAACCTCCTCCAGCTGCCCCACACCTCTCGACACACACACCCTGCTCAAACCCTAGTTCTACTCCCAAAGCACCCTCCTTGCACACACCCCCTGCTGCACCATAGGTTCACTCACCCCCCACCCCCTAGTACCACTCCGTCGACTCCCACACACCCACCCCCCTCAGCGGGAGCTGCAGCAGTGGGAGACAGAGGAGGAGGAGGAGTAGGGGAGACCACACACCCGCCACCCCCTACTCGCCACCCCCAAACCCTAACACAGGGCAGGGCGGGAGGGCGGGTAGGGAGGTTACGGGGGGGGGGGGGGGCGACGCGCGGCCTCCCAGGGCGCCAAAGCAGGCGGCACAAGGGGCGACGCTCGCCCCCCCCCTCCCTGGTCGCGGCCCCCTAGGGAGCCGCGGCGGGCGACGGGAAAAGAGGGGGGGGGGGGGGGCGGTGCACGGGTCCCCGGTGCGCCGCGCCAGGCGACGGAGCATGGCCGGAGCGGGGCCGGGGCAGGGTCGGGGCAGGGCCGGGGCAGGGCCGCGACAGGGTCGGGGCAGGGCCGGGGCAGGGCCGGGGCAGGGCCGCGACAGGGCCGCGACAGGGTCGATAGGGGCGGCGACGGGGCCGGTAGAGGCGGCGACGGGGCCGCGAAGAGCGGTGATGGGGCCGCTAGGGGCGGCGACGGGGCCGCGAAGGGCGGCGACGTGGCCGCGAAGGGCGGCGACGAGGCCGCTAGGGGCGGCGACGGGACCGCTAGGGGCGGCGACGGGACCGCTAGGGGCGGCGACGGGGCCACGAAGGGGCCGCGAGGGGCCTGGAAGGGTGGCGACGGGCCGCGAAGGGGCCGCGAGGGGCCGAGAAGGGCGGCGACGGGGCCGTTAGGGGCAGCGACTGGGCCGCGAAGGGGCCGCGAGGGGCCTAGAAGGGCGGCGACGGGGCCGGTAGGGGCGGCGACGGGGCCGCGAAGGGGCCGCGAGGGGCCTGGAAGGGCGGCAACAGGGCCGCGAAGGGGCCGCACGAGGGGCCTGAAAGGGCGGCAACGGGGCCGGTAGGGGCGGCAACAGGGCCGCGAAGGGGCCGCGAGGGACCTGGAAGGGCGGCAACGGGGCCGCAAAGGGGCCGCGAGGGGCCGAGAAGGGCGGCGACGGGGGCCGCGAAGAGTAGCGCGAGGGGCACGCCACGGGGCGTGCAGAATACAGAGTAGCAGCGGAAGCAGTTAGGTGGGCCCACAGGCCAGGAGCGTAGATGCTCTGATAGCATGTGAAAAATGAGGAATGAAGAAGAGAGAGAGGGTTGCACTAGCAGCAGTTGGCATACATATAGGAAACCCTAATTGGGTTGTACTCGCTATAGAGTACCCCACTGCAGGCTAGACAATTATAACATTCTGACACTGGTATGTGAGGGCAAAGTAGATTGATTAAAACAAAGAGATACAGGCTTTCATAAGAGTACAAGGAATACGAAGAGATATAGTTAATAACCGTTTTACTGTTGCTGTTGTGGTTCGATACAGTGACGACTCGGGCAACTGCTCAAAAGCGAGTCAGTTGTTTGTCCTTGCTGTCGTGCTGTACTTGTCAGGTCAAAGGTCAATGACCTTTGACTTTCGCGTAACCTCCAGCAGTTATTCAACCTCCGAGGGTTGACTCGCTAATGCTTCGATATATTTCGCTTCGCTTCTGACTGGGTGTTTCGACACGACAGATGCGCTAAATCAATTGTTTCCAACACCACCAACCGTTTTCCGCCGGTTACCGCGTTACCCCGCCCCCCTGCCTACACTGCCCTGAGTCGCGCAGCCCTCGCGCTCGCCTCTGCTGGCCCTCGTGCAGCCCGCTAGCAGCCCGCCCGCTGCCTCGTCAGCCCCGCGCGTAGCTAGCTAGCTACCTCGTCAGGCCCGCGCGCCGCCCCGCAGCCCTCGCGCTGCCTTCTACTGCCCCGCACGCCACCTCTTGGCCCTCGCGCTGCCTATACTGACCCGCGAGCGCGCAGCCAGCCCGCTGCCTCGTCAGCCCCGTGCGACGCCCGCCCAGCCCGCCCGCTGCCTCGTCAGCCCCGCGCGCTGTCCTCCCACAGCCTTAGCAACCCTCGTACTGCCCTCCCACTGCCTTAGCAGCCCTCGTACTGCCTTAGCAGCCCACGTACTGCCCTTCCTCCGCCCTTGCTGCTCCTCCCCTGCCTCTGCAGCTTCGCGTACCGCCCCTACCGCCCTCCTTTAGCCCTTGCCGTCCGCGTGCTGCCTCTACTGTCGTGCTGCAGTGACCATGGCTTCTATTAGCATACTGCCGTTCGACCCTAAAGGACGCCCAGTCGAGTTCGATGCCTGGCTAGAAGATCTTCAGCTGTATCTTATGACTGATGCCATGGATGGCGTTTCGCTCTTTGACTTAGCCAAAGGTTCCTCAGTCGCTCTAGACACAACCGACAGCGTCGCTCACTCACAGTGGCTTACCCGTGACGCTACTGCACGCCTAGCCATTCGCAGCCACTTGCCTCTAGCCGAGCACACCCACTTTGGCCAGCACAAAACTGCTAAAGCACTGTACGCTGCTGTCATCGCTTGCTACTCCTCTCCTCCTGCCACTGCTGCCCTCAGCCGCCTTATCCTACCCTACCTTTTTCCTGAGCTCTCCTCCTTTACCACAGCTGAGGATCTTATCACTCATCTCCGCGCTAGTGACGCTCGTTACCGCGCAGCCCTCCCGACTGAGTTCTTAGACAAGAACCCCCCTCCGATGTACGTCACGCTCTACTTCATTGTCACCCGACTCCTTAACTCTCTTCGTGTCGTCAGGGACCACTTTCTAGCCCTTCCCCCCACCGACCTCACAGTCGACGACCTAGAGAAGCACCTGCTTGCAGCTGAGTCCAACATCGTAGCTCTCGGTGCTGCTCGTGGCACTCCACGTACTCCCACGCCTCTGCTGCTATTGTTGACCTCCTTGGTGCTGAGGAGGTCGGTGCCGCTTCTACTTCTGCAGGGAAGCGCTGTAGCGGCAAGGGCAAGGGAGGCAAGGGTGGCGGCACTGGCAGCGGGGGAGGTGGTGGTGGAGGAGGCGGCGGTGGGGGTGGTGGTGGTGGGGGTGGTGGCAGGGGTGGAGGGGTCGGTGGCAGCAGTGGCAGCAGCGGTACGCGTGGTGGTGGTGGAGGAGGGTTGTGGCAGTATGGCAGCAGCAGCAGTGGCAGCAGCGCTGGTGGTGATGGCGGTGGGAGCGGTGGTACCAGCGGTGGTGGCGGCCGTGGTGGAGCTGGTCAGCGGGGAGGTGCTGGAGGTGGCCAGCGCCAGCAGCAGCAGCGTCAGCCCGAGCCCCGCACGCCCTAGCAGCTTCGTAAGTGGTACGCTCAGCGTGGGGCGTCTGGGGGTAGTGGTCGCGGCCCTTACCGCATTCGCACTGGTGAACGCGCTGGTCAGACGTGCAACAAGTTTCACACCGAGTACCGCTGCTTCTCTAGGCTGGACGACGCCTGGCGTGCCCAGTTTCCTGATGCTATTGAGCTTCCCTACTGGGCAGGCCTGCTGAGGCGTGATGTTCCTATCTTTGATCTTGACTATGATGCAATTATTGCTGCCATGTATGCATTGACTGTTAGTGCAGATGTTGACTGCTACTTGTGTATGCCGCATGATCCAGGTATAAAGACTGCAGCCCTAGGTGCTCGTGAGTCTGCTCTCCCTGGTACTGCATCCGCTCAGGCCTTGCACACCTTTACACTTGACTTTGGCGCTTCCCGCTGTTTCTTTCGCGACAGTACCACAGTCACTCCCCTCCTTGCAGCTGTCCCTGTCTCACTGGCTGACCCCTCTGGGGGCCCAGTGCTAGCACGGTCCACTACTGTGCTTCCGTGTCCGGCGGTCCCGTCTCGTGAGCTGTCTCGTCTCCACCTCCCCTCGTTCTCTACGAACCTGGTGAGCAACGCCGTCCTTCAGGATCATTGGGTTGATACCTTTACTCCTGGAGGACAGCGTGTGGCAATCTGCACGTGCTCTCGGACTGGCCGTCACCTGGCCACGTTCACAAGTGCGCCCGGGTCTAGTCCGTACACCCTCACCATTGCATCGCGCTACACCCCTTTGTCTCCTCAGCTGTACGCATCCGCTCCAGTAGCTACCCAGTGTGAGTATCATCGCTTGTCACACCAGACTCTCCTTTGGCACCACCGCCTTGGTCACCCCTCCTTGCCCCGCCATCGTGGCATGCACTCTCGCTACCTGGTCTTTGGTCTTCCCAGGTCTCTGCCCTCCCTCCCTCCCTCGCCTGCGCTGCCCTGCATCGAGCCGCCTAGCAGCCGAGCTGCCGAGCCACCGAGCCGCCCAGCAGCTGAGCCGCCGAGCCGCCGAGCCGCCCAGCAGCCGAGCCGCCGAGCCGCCCAGCAGCCGAACCGCCGAGCCGCTCGACACCAGAGCCGCCCAGCAGCCGAGCCGCTGAGCAGCCGAGCCGCCCTGCCGTCAAGCCGCACCTCGTCCTACCGGCGCGCCCCTGCCCTACTTACTCGGACTAGTGAGCTCACTCCTTGCTAGGCCACTACAGTCATGGCTAACCCCAGTGTTCTTACCTTTGATACTGAGGGTCGTGCTGTTGACTTTGAGGTCTGGGTCGATGACCTCCAGCTGTTCCTCCAGTGCGATAAGGCAGACGACCTCTCCCTGTTCGACCTCACCTCTAGTGCCTCCCCTGCCCCGCCTGCTACTGCTGACAGCACTGTTCGCTCACAGTGGGCGACACGCGATGCTGCTGCCCGTCTTGCTGTGCGTCGCCACTTACCGACCACTGAGCGTGCACACTTTAGCCAGTACAAGAGTGCTAAGACCTTGTACGACGCTGTAGTTGCACGCTACTCTTCCCCTGCCACTGCTGCACTGACCGCCTCATGCTACCGTACCTCTTCCCTGACCTTGCTGCCTTTCCCACAGTCGCTGACCTTATTACGCACCTCCGCACTAGTGACACTCGCTACCGCGCTGCGCTTCCTGCTGAGTTCTGCGCCAAGAACCCCTCCCCCATGTACATCACCCTCTACTACATAGTCACCCGGCTCCCTGACTCTCTTCGCTTAGTCAGGGACCACTTCCTCTCAGTTTGCCCCACCACTCTCACCATTGACCTCCTTGAGGAGCGCCTCCTAGCATCAGAGAAGAGCATAGTCGCTGTAGGAGCCTCTCGTGGTGACCCTCGCACCCCCGTCTTTGAGGGGTGTTCCCCCTCCCCCCCTCTTGCCATCTGTTGCTTCTGCTGTTGCTGCCGACCTCGTTGGTTTCTACGGGGTCGGCGCTGCGTCTGCCCCTAGCGGGAGACGCCGCACCGGCAAGGGCAAGGGGGGCAAGGGAGCTGGAGGGGCTAGCGGGGGCGGTGGAGGTGGTGGTGGAGGCAGTGGAGGGAGTGGGGGTGGTGGTGGGAGTGGTGGCGGAGGTGGCGGCAGCGGTGGCAGCAGTGGAGGCGGAGGAGGCGGCGGTGGTGGCGGAGGGAGCAAAGGCGGCGGAGGTGGGAGAGGAGGCGGAGGTGGTGGAGGCGGCAGAGGCGGCGACGGCGGCGGCGTCGGTGGAGCTGGTCGCGACTCTGCGCAGAGGAGTGGGTCCGGTGGTGGTCCGCGCCAGCAGCAGCAGCGCGGTCGTGAGACCTTGTCCCCTCAGCAGCGTCGTGAGTGGTACGCTGCGCGTCAGCGCGGTGGGGGTACAAGTCCCTGCACTTACGTCCTCCGTACCGGCGACCGCGCTGGTGAGCAGTGCGGGGGCCCGCACTCCACCCAGCGCTGCTTTGGCCGCCTGACGGACGCGTGGCGTCACCAGTTCCCTGAGGCATCAGAGATCCCTCGCTGGAGAGGCATCATCGCCTTGGTCACCCCTCCCTGCCTCATCTCCGAGGCATGGCCTCCCGTGTCCTTGTCACTGGTCTCCCCCGGTCTCTCCCTCTCCTACCTCCAGGGCCTGGCCCTACCTGCGTCCCCTGCGTTGAGGGGCAACAGCGCGCCGCCCCTCACTCCTCCGAGTTTCCTCCGACAGAGGCTCCGCTACAGACTCTCCACATGGACGTGTGGGGCCCCGCCCGCGTAAGTGGACAGGGGCACGAGCGTTACTTCCTGTTGGTGGTTGACGACTACTCGCGTTACACCACAGTCTTCCCCTTGCGCAGCAAGGGTGACGTCACTGAGGTGTTGATCGACTGGATCCGCGCGGCTCGTCTCCAGCTCAGGGAGAGTTTCAGCTCGGACTTTCCTGTTCTGCGTCTGCACTTGAACAGAGGCGGGGAGTTTTCCTCTGCCCGTCTGGGAGCCTTCTGTCGTGCACAGGGCATCCGCCAGACCTTCACGCTTCCGGCCTCTCCACAGCAAAATGGGATTGCTGAGCGCCGCATTGGCATGGTCATGGACGTCGCTCGTACGTCCATGATGCATGCAGCTGCCCCCCATTTTCTTTGGCCGTTTGCGGTTCAGTACGTCGCGCATCAGCTCAACCTTCAGCCCCGGGTCTCCTTGCCAGAGACCTCCCCCACCTTGCGGTGGACGGGGAAGTTTGGCGATGCGTCTGCGTTTCGGTTCTGGGGATCTCGGGCGTTTGTCCGCGACTTGTCTGCGGACAAGCTGTCCGCCGGTGCTGTTCCCTGCGTCTTCCTTGGCTTCCCCCCTGACGCGCCTAGTTGGCAGTTTTACCACCCCATCTCGCACCGTGTTCTGTCCTCCCAGGACGTCACCTTTGACGAGTCGGTACCTTACTACCGTCTCTTCCCCTACCGCACTGCGCCCCTTCCCCCACCCCCGCTCTTCCTTGCGCCAGGTCCTCCCCCGGTAGACCCCCTCCCCCCTCAGGGTCCTGCCCCGTCAAGTGTGACCCAGGTAGACGCAGTCGAGCCTGTCGAGGTCGCTGTTGACTCTGGTTCAGTTAGAGGTGCTGAGCCTGCGGGTGCCGGGTCAGGCGGTGCTGAGTCTGGGGGTGCTGAGCTTGGGGGTGCTGAGTCTGGGGGTGCTGAGCCTGGGGGTGCTGAGTCAAGAGGTGCTGAGCATGGGGGTGCTAAGTCAGGGGGTGCGGAGCCTAGAGGTGCGGAGCCTGGGAATGCTGGGTCTGCTCGTGTGGCCGCCAGCGGTGCTTCGTCGAGGCGGGAGCCACTCTCTCCACAGGAGCTGCGCGAGTGGTTTGCCCGGCGCTGGAGCCGTGCTGCTGGAGCTAAAGGTACTACTGTTGCTGCTGGTCCCGGAGGTGCTCGTACTGGAGGTACTGGAGCTTCTATGACTGGGGGTTCTGCTGGGGCTGCTGGAGCTGGTCCTGCGGGAGCTGCTGGCGGTCCTGGAGCTGCCGGTCCTGCTGGAGTTGGTGCTGCTGGAGCTCATGGAGCTGGTTCTGCTGGGGGTGTTGGCGCTGGTGTTTCTGCTGGCGCTGGTGCGTCTGAGGGTGCTGGAGTTGGCGCTGTTGGAGCTGGAGGTGCTGCTGGCGCTGGTGCTGCCGCTGGAGGTACTGGTGCTGTCCCTGTTGGTTCTGGAGGTCCTGCGCGGCCGAGGCCGTACTTCGTTCCGCTTCTTGAGCAGGTTCTTGGTCTTCCGCCTTCCACTGGTCCTGCCCCTCCCTTAGCGTGTCCACCGCCTGTCCAGTCGCAATCACAGTTACAGCCCGCCTCCCCCCTGCCTGCTTCTTCTCCCTACGCTGGTCCTACTGGAGGTCTTGCTGAGCGTCGACAACCTGCGTTTCGTCCTGCGTCCCCTGTTCGTGCTGTTCGCACTAGTGGTCGTACTGCGCGTCCGCGTCCTCCTGCGGTCCCAGGCACACACCAGATGGCACTGTGTCCTTCAACTGCTCCTCTGCTTGTCCCGTTGCCGTCTCCTCCAGGTCCTCTCTTCCTACTCTTGCTGACCCGGAGTCTGACTCTCTTCGTGCTGCCAGTCCTTCTGTCTTGGCTACTGTTGTCACTAACCCTTCCTTTGAGTCCCCTGCTGCGTCGGCCCTAGTTGCTGAGCTTGTCAACTTTGCTGCTCGCTGTCGTCTAGACTACGCTGCTAGTCTTGTTGCTGAGTCTGAGTCTGTCTGTCCTCCGTCCGTCGGGGGTGAGTGTGCTCTTAGCACGGACGTCCTTGAGGACAGGCAGGAGGAGTTCCAGTGTTTTGCTGCTGCTTTGCCTCATCTCGTGTCCACGCTGATTGCCCCTGAGGGAGAACCGGATGCACCAGACATCCCGACTCCTCGATGGTACGCTGAGGCGATCGAGGGTCCCTACTCCTCTCAGCGGCGGTCAGCCATGGACGCAGAGATGGCTTCCTGGAAGTCCACAGGCACCTATGTCAACGAGGTTCCCCCACCTGGGGCGAACATCGTCAGTGGCATGTGGATTTTCAGGGTGAAGCGGCCGCCGGGTTCTCTACCTGTCTTCAAGGCGCGTTACGTGGCTGGAGGCTTCTGATAGCGGCAGGAATTTGACTACTTTCAGACCTTCTCTCCCACCCCGAAGATGACCACTCTTCGGGTGCTACTGCACATAGCCGCTCAACGCGACTACGAGCTTCTCTCTCTTGACTTCAGCACAGCTTTCCTGCAGGGCAGCCTACACGAGGAGATCTGGTTGCGCCGCCCACCTGGCTTCACTGGGTCGTTTCCTCCTGGTACCCAGTGGAGCCTTCGGCGGCCAGTCTACGGTCTCCGCCAGGCGCCCCGTGAGTGGCACGACACACTGAGGACTACACTTGCGGCTCTTGGGTTTGCTCCTTCTACTGCCGACCCATCGCTGTTTCTGCGCACCGACACCTCTTTGCCGCCGTTCTACATCCTCGTGTACGTCGACGACTTGGTTTTTGCCACTGCTGACACTGCTGGACTCGCCCACGTGAAGTCCAAGCTGAAGAAGAGACACACGTGCACAGACCTGGGTGAACTGCGCAGTTACCTTGGCTTGCAGATCACCCGGGACAGAGCACAGCGCACCATTACCCTGACTCAGTCACACATGGTGCAGCAGGTCCTTCAGCGCTTCGACTTCATGTACTCCTCGCCTCAGGCCACTCCTCTGTCTACTCGCCTCTCACTCTCAGCTCTGCCTTCGGATGAGTCCGTAGAGCCAAGTGGCCCGTACCCAGAGCTTGTTGGCTGCCTCATGTACCTGATGACCTGCACTCGACCTGACCTTGCATACCCTCTTAGCATTCTCGCACGCTATGTTGCTCCTGGCAGACACCGACCAGAGCACATGGCTGCAGCGAAGACGGTGTTGCGCTACTTGTGCAGTACGTCGGGCACGGGGCTAGTGCTTGGAGGGCGACGTCGAGTGGTCCTCACAGGTCACGCTGACGCTTCTTGGGCTGACGACCAGGCTCTGCAGCGGTCGTCACAGGGTTACACCTTCAGCCTTGGCTCCGGTTCTGTTTTGTGGCGGTCTACCCGCTCGTCTTCTGTTCTCAGCTCCAGGTGTGAGGCTGAGATCTACGCGTGGGCCATGGCTGCACAAGAGCTACGCTGGCTCACCTACCTGCTGACTGACCTAGGAGAGTCGCCTCGTTCTCCTCCAGTTCTGTACGTAGACAACAAGGCCATGCTGGCCTTGTGTCGGGAGCACAGACTGGAGCACAGAACAAAGCACATTGCTCTTCGCTACTTCCTTGCTCGTGAGCTGCAGCACCGTGGTCAGCTGCGCCTTGCTTACGTGGCCTCTGAGGCCAACACTGCTGATATCTTTATTAAGGCACTTCCGCCTTGTGATCATCAGCGCTTCTGTACGATGTTAGGTCTTGTGCCTACTTGGCCTCACTTGCTCACTTCTTGACCTTGCTTGTACTGTGATCTTTCTATACCTGCACTTGCTCGTTTACCTTTATATATGATCTTGCATGTGAACTGGCCTTTTGGCCTTGCTCTTGTGCTCGGATTGTGTGGTGACGTTGTGATCCACCCTGAGCTTGCTTTGCTTTGCTTGACTGGTCTTCTGACCTCTTGTTCTCCCCCACTTTGCCTATGGGGATGTGTCAAACTCATATTATATAGCTTGTGTAGGCTATAGTGGGGTAGACACTATGGGGTACAGTTTCCTAGGGTTTCCTACTTGTACCCAACCTTGTGCTAGTTCATTCATTCCTCATTCTTCACACGCATGCGTTGATGTCAGGCATGGAGGGCCAAGGCAACAACTACGTGACTACGAGCGACATCGCGAACCTCTGCACCGACATGGAGCAGACGCAGGCGATGCTTCGTCGACTCGAGGCTTTTCTGACAAGCCAACCAGGGTTCACCATCCGAGGAGCAGCGACCGCAGAGACTGCAGCACCGACAACTCCAGCAGCAGTGGCGACACCCACATTTCACGGACCAATGACACCACTGTCGCCGAACCTTGAAGCAGCACGACCGAGGCTCTCGTAGGCGTTCGATCCAAGCGCGAAGGGATCCGACGTCCGGCGATTTGTGGCCACCCTCGAAATTTACTTCGAGGCCATTGGCTGTTCGACCCCGCAACACGACGCAGCAAGGATTCGGCTCGCAGCGACACTGTTACGTGGATTGGCTCTCGAATGGATTTACTACACCGACGTAGCCCACGGGGAGAAAACGTGGCAGCAGTTTTGCGCAGATTTTATCGAGCGTTTTGAACCAATTAATACGACCTACATGGCACGGCAGCAGATACACCGACACAAGCAATACAGTAGTGTAGCACAGTACACGCAGCAGATGGAGTTACTGTTCAAACGCATCACCGTCCTGACCGAAGGCGAAAAAATCCAGGCGTACACCAAAGGATTAAAATTGGAGATTCGTCGGCAGGTGATTGCGGCGAATTACAACAGCTACAGAGAC